GGAGCAGGGTCGGCCCCGCCCGGAGGGACCCCCTGGGACACGGGTTCGAGACCCGGCAGCGCCGTTCACCTGGCGCTGGTGTCCCACATGTCGGGGGGTCCCCTCCAACCCCCCAGTGCACCGCCCCCGCCGGTTCACCGCTCCCCAGCACCGCTCCCCAGCACCGCTCCCCAGCACCGCTCCCCAGCTGGCAGCATGGGAGGAGCAGCGGGGCACCTTCAGCAGCAGGTGGCACACATCCCTTTGAGTGCCCCGGGGACACACCTGAGTTCCCCTCTCTATGGTCCCCCCTCCTCTGCAGGGACCGACCCTAGGGCTGTAATGAACCCCCCAGGCCAGGGTTGGCGGCACAGACACAGCCAGAAATGGGGGGGAGGGCACCCAGCACAGGCCCAGGCTCGGAGCCTCTGATTGATATTAAATTGTCTTTATTACACAGATACAGAGTTAAGAACAGACATAACCTGAATCATAAAGTTTACATCTTTCACAGGTCAAACATACAGTACACTTAGAGAAAGCGGGAACAGCAAGGGGGGGACAGCATGCCGAAGGAAAGTCCTACCACGTCATCTCTCTGGGCTGGCCCCACACCTCCCGCCTGGCCCTGGCGTGGGGCTCTGGTTTCCAGCCCCACAGGACCCCCCGTGCCCCCGTGTCCCCGTCCCAGGGCTGGCAGGGCAACACGGGCAGGGCTCAGCCCCGCACGGGATCGGGGAAGCGCTGCTGCCGCAGCCGGGAGGGAGCGGGGACACTGGCACGATGTCCCCTCCCGGGGCCGTGGCGTTCGGTGACATCGGAGGAGCCCCCAGGGCTGCCACCGCAAAGGGGACACCCCATCACGGTGCCTGGATCCTGGGAACACAGTGGCATCTTGTCCCCAACCTCAGAGCCACTGGGATCCAGGGAGGGACCCCGAGAGAAGGGGGGGACTCCAGCAGCCCCCGCAGGAGGAGGAGGAGGAGGAGCAGCTGCTGCCTTGGAGGGTTGGGGGGCTCTGGCAGCGATGGAGCAAAAGCCAGGCAGGTGTGGGACCCCCGCCCAGCCTCGCCGGGATGTGGCACTTTGGTTTCAGCCGGGATTTTGGGTTGGGAACGTGAGGAGGGGGCTGCAGAGGGGACCCCCGGGGCCGCGTCTGTCCTGCCACCTCCGCACCCGGACACGCTGGCCCCGTGTCCCCAACACCGTCCCCCTGCCCCAGCCGTGATGGGAGCGGGAAAGCCAGGAGCTGTGGGCTGCCATGGGGACCTGATGTGGCAGCTCGTGTCCCCACAGTGCCCCGCAGCCCCGGGCTGTCCCCTGGCACCGCGCTGCTCATCCACTGCCACCTCCAAAGGGGCAAAGCCACCAAAGGGGCACAGCACGTGGCACATGTCCCTTGGCCCCACACACACCCCTACAGCACCATTTTGGGKCAAACCCCCACGGAAGCACCCCGGCATCACTCCGTTCTCCCCGCAGCACAATTATTTTTTTGGGAAATCTCACATTTAAAGCTGTCGTTCTGGTTTGGCCGCCCGCTGAGGCTGCGCCGCCCGACACCGCCGTCCATTCCCTCCCTCCCTCCCTCGGCTTTTGGTTTCAATGCAAGGTTCTGTAGGGT